CACCCCGGGCCTCAACTGCAATCCCTGTATTGGTCACTTGGTGAAGCCCAATCAATGGGTCCCCCCCCACCAGCGGCCCCTGCGCCCTCAGAAGCCGGGGTGTTGGACGGGCGTGGCCGAGGGGCCGGGGCACGCCCGCTCCAACCCCTCACTGCGGCTGGGCGCAAGGCCACCGGGCGCAGGGACCCGGCGGTGTCGTCGGAGCCGCTGCCGCTGTGTCCCCGGAGGCGCCTCTGGGAACTGCAGCGCCACGCCAACTCCCATGCGCCTGCGCGCTTACACCCGCCCCGGCGCCCGGACAGTGCGGAGCGAGCGCACCCCCTGTGGGTTAGGACTGCCGGTCAGTCCCCGGGAGTGGACTTAAGGACTGGGGAACTCGGAAGGGGATCACCATCCTGGGCCTCCTACCTAATGGGGCAGTGGACACTGCCGCCCCTGTCTGCCTTGGCGGTGATCTTGGCCTCCCACCTGCCTGCCCCGCCCATGGCTGGGAGGGCCCTGGCTCCTGCCCTGGGGCTAGATTGCCTGGCCACAGGCCACACCCCTAGCCGGGTCACTCGGGGGAAAGGGAAGCGGCGGGTAAGCAAGTCCAAAGCATTGTCCATTCACCCACTCACTGTGCAAACGTTTATCGATTGCTCCTCTGAGCCAGGTCCCGGACCCCGCCGGGGTCAACTATCCCAGACACAGATCTCTTCCTTCTCGCACCGGACCCTCCCCCGGGTGACAGTCCTTTCGTGCCCACAGGCCTGCCGGCTGCTGTCGGCAGAGAACCCAAAGCCGGAGTCCCATGAACCCAACCCTTGACTCTCAAGGCTGTGCCCTGGGGTCTGCACCTGGCAAGGAAGGGGCACTGGGGGAACGGGAGGGGACTGCACTCTCAAAGAGTCTTTTGTTTCTCAAGGAGGAACTGGGGTGGCAGGCCAGAGGCTGTGGTGTAACCCACCAGGAGGAAGGGGAGGATGTGAGGGCGATTTATGATTCCACATGAAACTCCAGAGCTGAGAACACCATCCTCCCTCCCACAGCCAGCCCCTGGCAGACAGACCCTGCCCACAGCCATCCATCTCCAGCCTCCCAATGTGAGGGAACCTTGGGGTCCTAGGGCTCACCCTGATCTCCCCACCCCTCTGAGGACATTGCTTGCCAGCTGCCACATCACCTCCCCAGCCCAATCACCTCACTCCCACCTCCACCCCCCTTAATATGGATATGCAGAGGGGTGTGGGACACCTGGGGTGCAGGCAGCCAGGCACTGCTCCCCACAGCTCCCGGCCAGTATCGGCCAGTTTCACCGTCCCCAGCACCCACCCAGCTGATACACCTGTACTCCAGCAGATTCCTTAGCCCACCCAGCCACAGGCCCAGGACCAGAGAGACAGCCCCAGAGGCACAGCCCTGAACATATTGGCCCTATTTGCAGGAAGAGGCCAGTTTGCTATTGGTCCCAAGTCTACTCTCAAGGATGAGCTAGAGCAGGAAGTAGAGCGGGGAGTCCTGGGAGAAGCAAGCAAAGCCCAAGGCCTGTGCCTGGCCCTGCAGCGCAGAAACTCCTGCTGACCACCCAGCTGGCCCTCCCCACACCAGCACAAAAGCCACCCTCAACATGCCAGCCACCCTTGGGCTGTGCTCAGAAGGTGGTCACAGCCTTCTCAGAGCCACTGTTTCTCATCTGGGGTGAAGAAGAGAGGAAAAGGGCAGGAATGGGCAGGCAGCACCTGAGCCAGCCGCCTGAAACAGCTTTAGGAGCCCCTCACTGCCCCCCGCAGGGCTGCCATCACTTTTTGGTCCATGTTTCAGCCAGTCAACCAACCAAAGTGTTAGAGCCTTTCCTAACCCCACCAGCTGCAGCATTAAATCCAGAATCTCTGCTTAGCAGCCCACAACAGTAACTCAGCCTGATCCAACTTTATGTTCCTTCCCCTTAATACCCATCCCCACACACGTTCCACAGATTTGTCAATATGAATTGGAAAAAAATCATATCATACTTTTGGAGAGTAGCTCACCTCCTCAGGGTCATACTTTGTATCTCACTCTTCGCAGCCTGGGGCAGGCCAGGTTTGCTGAGGTCACAGGGCCTTTGTACATGCTGTGCCTACTGCCCAGGAAGCTCCTCTCCTCCAGTCTCTCACTAGTCACTGCTGAGCTATGACCCCTCCTCAGAGCCCTCCTCCTTGGCCACTGGGGCCAAAGGAGCAGCACCCAACCATCCCCTCACACATTCTAGTGCTACTATCCTACTCTAGTTGCCCAGGGCCCTGTCTTACATTAACTCACTGTCAGTCTTCCTGCTACACCATGGGACCTTGAGGACAGAACCCCATCTATCTTGCCCACAGCTGCACCCCCAGCACCAAGCCCAGAATCAGGCACAGAGAAGACACTCAATCGATATTTGCAAAAAAAAAAAAAAAAAAGAAAGAAAGAAAGAAAGAAAACTGTGCAAAGTCCTGGCATTCATGTCTTGGCATCCCTGGCGTTGTTAAACACAGCTGGCCTGGGTTTAATTTGTTTATTGATTTCCACCCAATTACTCCTGAAAGGATTCAAGATGTGGGGATGGATGGCTTTGGTATCACCCACCCTCCCATACTGCAAGAGCTTCTGAGCATGTACAGTAAGTCACAGTTGCCGTATCTTGGGAAGGGACATCTCTTTTTATTTTTTTTTATTTTTTTCCTAAAAGATGACCGGTAAGGGGATCTTAACCCTTGACTTGGTGTTGTCAGCACCACGCTCACCCAGTGAACTAACCAACCATCCCTATATGGAATCCGAACCCGTGGCCTTTGTGTTATCAGCACCACACTCTCCCGAGTGAGCCACGGGCCAGCCCGGGAAGGGACATCTCTTTTTATTTTTTTTTATTTTTTTCCTAAAAGATGACCGGTAAGGGGATCTTAACCCTTGACTTGGTGTTGTCAGCACCACGCTCACCCAGTGAACTAACCAACCATCCCTATATGGAATCCGAACCCGTGGCCTTTGTGTTATCAGCACCACACTCTCCCGAGTGAGCCACGGGCCAGCCCGGGAAGGGACATCTCTGCAGGCATGAATTGAAGGGTGTAAACTCCAGGGCCCCAGCTTGTGTTAGTCATGATAATGGAGCAACAGCTGCTTTCCTAAGAGTGAGGCAAACTTCACCTGCACAGATTGTGGAACTGGGTCAGGGTTTCTGCTCTCACAGACGAGAGACCAAGGGTCTGTCCCGTTGGCCTGCTCCCCAGCGGGTCACAGACCATCACTACCCTGGCTGGCCTGGAAGGGTTTCACCAGAGCGGATCATGCAGTGACAAGGGCTGGAGCGGCTGGCCAGGGCCACCTCCATTTATGTTGTTTCCTAGCACAGTTTGGGGGAGACAGGCGCAGGCTTTGGCGAGGACCAGAGACCACCTTGGAACTGGGCCCCACATGGGTGAGTCCAGACATACAGGGAGGGGACAGCGGGCTAGAGTGAAGAGAAGGTGGGGGTGTAACATCATTCAAAGATGAGCTAAGCCCAAAGCCCACCCTCTGGAGACTGCCTCTGTGAGTGGGAGGCTAAGACGACCAACAGCTCGGCCCCTGTCCCCCAGGCCTGTCTTGACAGAAAGGGATGGACTATCAGCAAATAAACTTTTTCCAAAAAGATCCCGTTCATAACCAAAGCCTTGGTAGCCTTCCCGATGTCTCAGCCGCCCCTGCCCCACCTGTCTGTCTGAATGTCCATGGTTCCAGTTCAAGGTGGGATGGCCAGAGCATGGCCGCCATGCTGTGTTTATCTGGGGTGGGTGTGGGCTGCCTGCCTAGTGCCCCTGGGAGGCAGAAGTTTCTTTGCCTGAAAGAAAGGAGGGAGAGGAGAGAAAAACAAGTCACTGTGAAGTCATGCTTCAGACACTGTTTGCTGAGAGGGCCCACCCCTGCCCGACCTGTGAGCCAGGGAGCTGGAGGCCCTGACCCCCAGCTGGTGGGAGTCTGTGTGCCCTGTCTTATTCCCTGAGATCTGGGGGAGTCTCTCCTTCCTCCACAGACACAGAGGACAGAAAACATCGAGAGGAAAAAGACATCATCACACGCTTATCATGCATCAGGCCTTCACAGACTGCTCACTTAGGCCCCACGGTGACAGCAGTGGGGAGGGGCTATTAGCAACCACATTTGAAAGAGGGTGAAACAGATTAAGAGACTGGCCACGGTCCTGCGGACAGCAAGGGAGGCTCTGGGATTTGAACTACAGAGCATGGGGAGGAACCTGAGGCTGGCTGGCTCTGCAGACGTCATGCGATGATGCATGAGGATCTGGGTGAGCACGAGAGCAGTGGACCAGAGAGGAGACTGAGTTCAGATAGCACACACACAAGGGACAGCTCCCCAAACACAACCACCATTAATAAGAATTGTGCCAACAAGGCTGTGGGCTTATTGAGCTATTACTATGTGCCAGGCCCAGGGGCACTGCAGTACATGCAGTTGTTCTCAGTGGCCCTGGGCACAGGCTCTGCTACCGTGGCTACCACGCAAAGGAGGAGACAGGCTCAGAGGCCAAGAAGCAAGCCCATGGTGACAGCCAGCAGAAGATGTGCTTGCACAGCCTAGGTCCTCAGCCTCTGCCAGTCCCTATCTCTGACTCTAGCCACAGGGAAAGGCCTGGTCTGTGGAGAAAACCCTTTTCCACATCCTCCCTCAGATGTACCTTTTTGGGGCGAACACAATCAGGCAGAGGAAACAGAACATTCATCCCCCCGTCCCTGCCCTGCAGCCAACTTTTGGGGTGACTCTGGGCAGTTCCTGGGCAGCATGATCTGGTGCCCCCTATACTTTGTCATGTTAAGTGGGAAAGCCTAGACCTCTACAATGTACAAGAGGCCCTGCCTCTGGCTGCAGAGGGCAAGCTCACCTTTAGGGATGAACTTCAGGGAACTGCTAAATATTCAGAATCGGGACTGCCCCCGCTTGGGGCCGTCATTCAGGAACTCGTGGCCCAGCCCATTGCCACACTTGCCACAGGACACCTGGGAAGACCACAAAACACCCGCATGAGCTTCTGACCCACAAAACAGCCATGGCGATGGCCCTTACTTCTGCCAGCAGATGTTGTTTCTCCCTACACGCCCATTTCCCAAGATAACTATTGACGTGACAGGTTGACCTTGGTCCTGCAGCACATACAGGAAAGCTGTCCTGTTTCCACTCTTCTCACCAGGACACCAGACTCTCTCCATAGTTTGGATGGCTGATCTCCCAGCTGGGTCCAGAGGCCTGGGATAGACAGATCTAAGCCCCTAGAGCTGTGGGCAAGGAAGCAAGGTGTGATGGGCACTCTGGCCCTCCCTGGCCACCCTCTCCCCCTGCCGCTGCCACCCACCTTTAAGGCTTCAGGTCGATTATGCTCTGGACGCTTGGCCACACTGTCAGCATGGATGGTCTCGGTGAATGCTGGCCATGGGGATGAGTGTGCATACTTTGAGCGGCTGGAGAACAGCTCATAGCCACACTTGGCACACGCATAGACACCTGGGGGTGGAAAGAGAGGCAAAAGCAAAGATCTGTCAGCTCCAGCCTCTCTGGGCAAGCTCCAAGATCCTTGGACCCAGGGAAGACAGTGCTGCCCCATTCCGAGGGTGAGCTGCACACCCTCCCCACACACCTGCCATTCACAGGCCACGGGGCTGGCTCTGCAAGGAAGACACCGATCAAGCTCATATTTGTTTGCTTTTGGTGGCTGGCTGGCTGGTATGAACATCTGAACCCCTGACCTTGGTGCTGAGCTTTAGTGGATGCATCAGAGATGAGGGAAGTTACTGTTCACACTTATCTAGTTGGCTGTCTCAACAACCCTGTGACACAGAGTGTTTTAACCTTTCCACTTTACACATGAGGAAGCTGAGGCTAGGTTATGCAAAGACACCAAGCTAGAAGGTGTGCAGCCAGGAAGGAACCCAGGCCATCTGATGAGGACATACCACTCTCCCCTAACATCAAGCAGGACCCATACAGTGAGGGCCCTGACATGGCCAACACAACCACCTGGCCCACACCCCTTCTCAAGTGGCCATCGCCGCTACCCAACAAAGCCCTGAGTTGGACACCCAGCCACCAGCCTGCTCTCCAGGCAGGAAGAGAATGGTCCCAGAGAAACAGCCTCTGGGCCAAAAAGGAAGCCAGGAAGACAGGGCTGGGGAGGAGCACAGATTTCAACCTATCCCCAAAAGGTCACTTTCGGGTGAAGAGGGGGAGGGAAGGTTGTAAAACTGACTTGCAAAACTGTTTAAAGGGGCCAGCCTTGGGAGAGTGTGGTGCTGATAACACCAAGGCCATGGGTTCCGATCCCTATATAAGGATGGCCGGTTAGTTCGCTTGGGAGAGCGTGGTGCTGACAACACCAAGTCAAGGGTTAAAATCCTCTTACCGATCATCTTTAAAAAAAAAAAAACTGGGCCGGCCCGGTGGCGCACTGGATAGTGCGCCGCTTGGGAAGCGCGGCGGCGCTCCCACCCGAGGGTTCGGATCCCACATGCAGACCGGTTCCCGCTCGCTGGCTGAGCGAGGCGCGGGAGCGACACCGAGTGTTGCAATCCCGTTGCCGGTCCCCGGTCCGGTACGGGGGCAACACTGAGGGTTGCGATCCGTTGCCGGACACGGAAAAAGACAAAAAAAAAAAAAGACAAAAAAAAAAAAAAAACTGTTTGAAGGACTAAAAAAGGAACCTCCAGGGGTGTTGAATCACCCGCTCACCCAGCCCCAATGGATAGTCTTCCCTGGAGCCTGTGAACTACTCAGCCTTTACCAGGAACACGAGAAGGAAGTAGAGGAGCCGGGAGTTGCTGCGGGAGTAGGGTTTCCAGCTTCGCAGAGCAGCCAGAAGACAACTGGGTTCCCACAGCCATAGGGTGTCAGGGACGGCTTTCCCCTGGTAGTACTGTGTCACAGCTGGCCCGGTGATGCCCGGTGTCACAGTCCAGCCCCCTTGAGGGCTGACATCCACCCAACAGATCCCGCCCCAGGGAGGCCAATGCCCTAGTCTTGCCTGTGGACACTTTTTTACCAAATTAGTCCATTACCAGGCGAGCTCAGCCCAGGGGGGGACTCACTAAGGGCTCACGCAGCCTGGGCCAGCGGTGAGGGCTGTCCATGAGTCACCACCCCGTGTGCCCGGCCCTACGGAGTCCCCCAGTAACCGCCACGTTCACACCCGAGCCCCGTCCTCCCTCTAAGGTCCACTCTCCCCCCAGGCACCCCTACTCTCCGGACCTCCAGCCCTCCCCCTCCCTGCGATCCCCTTTACCCACACTCGCCCCCATCCCGGGCTGCAGGGCTCCGGCACCAGCCGGAGTGCGGCGACGCCCCTCTAATGCACCCCGCTGCCCTCCCAGCAGCAGGCCGCAGGCCGTACCCGGCTCAAAGTGGTTCTGGAAGACCTCGCCCCCGAAGAAGCTGCAGAAGGACATGGCTCCGCGCGGACCGCCGTGCTCGCGGCCTCCAACCTGGGCAAGGCAGCCGTCCGTAGGGCGCCGAGCCGCGCCCGCCTCTCCTCCCGCCTCTCCTCCTGAACACCAATCACGCCCCCGGTCCCTACGTCCCGTCCCCGCCAGAGGACCAATCACGCCTCGAGCCACCCGGGCCCTCCTTCCAGAGGCCCCGCCCCTTCCCGAGGACCAAGCTTCCCGCAGATCAGCGGTTCCAGCTTTTGCCTCCAGGAGGCCCCGCCCCCTCCCCGAAGACCTGCCCAATCCTGTCTCCCCAGCAGGCCCCGCCCCTCCCCGCGCGCCCCAGGCAGCCTGTGGGGCACTTGCGTTCAGGGGAGGGAGGTGCGTTCGCAGTGCCGCGTCCGCTCGTCCTGTGCCCGGCGCCCAACCCTGGGCCGCCGACCGTCAAGCTGTGTTTCCACGCCCCAACCCTCCGAGACATCGCAGAAAGAGTTGCCAAGGCCTTTATTAGACAGCAGGGCAGGCAGGGGTGGCCCGCGCTGCCGCGCAGCCTACAAGTCTCCTATGGTCTCCGGCTTTTCCTTCCCGAAATGCTTCTTCTGGGGGCCCTTGGGGGGGGGGGGGGCGGCAGGAAGAGCGTTAATCACAGAAAATGCCTAGGAATACTGCCCCTCCCACGGCCGGCCCGCCGACTCCGTCTCCTGCACCTTCTCTGCTCTGGGGCAGGCGGTATGTGTAGTCCGAGACCCAGAGAACAGGGAGGGGGTTGGGCTCACCATGAAGACCCTCTTCTCTTGGGCAGTCTGGAAGCGGCCATGGCCAAACTTGGAGGTGGTGTCGATGAATTTGAGTTCAATATTCTCCAAGGCTTGGCGGCTGTGGTGCACCCGGAGGGACTGGGGATCCATAGGAGAGGACAGCGTCAAGGCCGGAGGTCCCACCGCCCCTTCCTGTCACCTCCAGTCCACACCGGGAAGGTCTTGCTCTCCCAGATCCTGCCAGACCCCTCCGTTTCTGCTCCTACCATCCTGATTCCCCTTGGTGGCCAGGGCAGCCCATGGGACACACGCTCCCCGGCCCACCGCAAGTACTGACCTTTCTCAGCGTAATGACCCGCTTCTTGGTACCCGCAATGCAACCCTTCAGCATGACGAAGTCATTGTTGACTTCCCCATAGTGGGGGAAGCCGCCCTGCGGGGGAAGCGGGTCAGAGGCCAGGGGAAAGGGCTGCGATTTAGGGGGTGGCTGGGAGCTCTAGGAGAATTCCTCCCACAGGGCTGTGATTGGAAAGGGCCCTGTGTCCAGCCCCCAGGTGTAGGGGTGACACCTCATACTTGATCACTAATCAGGGCGGCATCTGAGCCACATGCTAAGTCCTTTCCGTGCACTATCTAATTTAACAATCTGCATTTTTTTTTTTTTTATAAAGATGACCGGTAAGGGGATCTTAACCCTGGACTTGGTGTTGTCGGCACCACGCTCTCCCAAGTGAGCCATGGGCTGGCCCAACAATCTGCATGGGGGGGGGACTGAGGCTCTGAGAGGTGGAGTCACTTGCTCCAGGCTCTGCAGCTGCTATGTGCTGGAGCTGGAGTTTGAGCCCAGGTGGCCTGACTCCTAAGTCACAGTCAGAGCTTCTATGCACCACCTCCATGATGGCAGCTGGAGTGTAGGCTGCCTCCACAGGAGGCTTGGAGAATTTTGTCCACCCAGGTGGCTGCTCGCTGGTGCCTGCAGCCAAATGCTTGGGACAGCAGAGGAGAGGGTCCGCCAGGTCCCACACCACTGCCTGCCTAGCATGGCCCTGTGCCCCAGTCTGCCTGTGGGGCAGCATCCAGCTGCAGGCACACATCTCATGCTCCTGAGGCAGGGCAGAACCCACTGGGGCTTGGGCCTGCTCCCCACAAACATGCTAGGCCCCTCGGCCTGCCTGGCCACCCAGCCTCACCAGCGGCGTGATGGACTTGTCGGTCACATCATAGCTGGTGGACGCATTGTTCTTGACCACCTTCCCATCCTCCATGTGCAGCCCCCGGCCAATGCGGTAAATCTGCCAGGAGAAGAGGGCACATTGGAGGCAGGAGGTGGCCTCTGGGGCCAGTGACATGTCCCTGCCCATCAGCACACATGCTCAGTCTCTGGCACTAGTGGGGGCATTTGGGACCCAGGCAGTTGTCTGGATCATACACTTCACCCACTGGGGTCTGACCATGTGACTTCCCCCTTCCAGGGCCACACACACACCTTCTTGTTGAGCTCCGTGCGGTGGTGGTAGCCCTTCTGCCCAGCCCGGGCGATGGAGCAGCCCACACGGGCGGGGTGCCAGGCACCAATGCAGGCCACTTTGCGCAGCCCCTTGTGGGTCTTCCGTGGCAGCTTCTTGGTATGCCAACGGCTTGTGACCCCTGCAGGTGGGAGAGGCTGCTGGCTGAGAGGCCAGTCTGGGTCGCAGTGCCTTCAGGCAGCCTTGCCTGGAGCCTCCATCCCCACCGGGCCCTACCTTTGATGCCCCGGCCCTTGGTGACAGCGATGACATCAATGACCTCACTCTGGCTGAACACACTATGCACCGGCACCTGCTTCTCCAGCTGGGCCTGGGCCCAGGCCACCTTCTCTGCCACTGTACCACCGTTCAGCTGGATCTCCATGATGTGGGCCTTCTTCTGCCGGAAGGGCAACAGCTTCATCTGCAGGACATGGCATGGTGGTTGGTTTCTGAGGGCCACCCCCACCACCTGCACACTGACATGGGCAGCTGGTGACCCCCAAAGTCTTTCCCACGTGCACTCATTCACAGGTGTTTCCATGCTCCAGCTGTGTGCTATGCTAGGCACTGTGGGTACAGTGTGGAATGAGGCGGACAGGGTCCCACACCTCAGGGAGCCACCACCTAGTTGGGGAACTGACGGAAGCCAAATAAAGTCTTAGAGAGGGCAAAATGCTCTGACAGAATATGGGGGGCAGTTATTTCAGATAGAGTGGTCAAAAAGGACCTCTCTTAGGAGGTGACACTGATAGCAAGAAGGAGCCTCTATGGGTAACTGGTTAGCTCAGTTGGTTAGAGCACAGCGTTATAACACCAAGATCAAAGGTTCAGAGCCCCACACTGGCCAGCTGCCAAAAATAAAATAAATAAAAAGGCAATTAAAAAAAAAAAAAAAGATCCGAGACTCTTTGGGCAGTGAGAACAGCATGTGCAAAGGCCCTGTGGCAGGGAAGAGCTTGGAGAGTTGGCGGGACAGAGGGAGACCAATGTGGCTAGATGGTGGTGAGAAAGGAGGGTGAGTGGGGACCAGGCAGGTCTTGTAGGGAGGAGCTCAGGCTTTCTTTCAAGTGCAGGGTGTGACACGATCTGATTTGTATTTTAAAACATCTCTGGCTGATGCTGTGTGAGGCACAGGCTGTACAGGGACATAGAGTTGGAAACAGAGAGACCAGTTAGATCACAGGACAGTGCTCAACAAGTATTTATGGAGCACTCATTGCATACAAGGATCTTTGTGGTCAGAGGGCTCAGCGGTGAACCAGGCAGCTGTGGCCCTTGCCAACCTGGCCTCTGCCCCTCGAGTCTGCCAAGGGAGGCAGACATTAACCAATGATGTGCTTCACCAGGAACTACAAGTGGGAGAGTAACTGGGGAGAGGGGTGTACCCAAGGTATTGTGAGTGGCTCTAGAGAGGGGCAGGGTGGGGGGGGTCACTGCTCTGGGGCTTAGGGAAGCCTTCCCTGAGAACAAGACCCCAAAGAGTCTTCCAGAATAAACTAGAGGATGTTGGTTATCTGTCAACCCACCTCAAGCCAGACTACAGGTACAAACACTGATATGCACACACTTATGCTGGAACCCAGAGGGGGCAGCCGACCCTCCACAGTGGGCATCTGGCGGGAGATCCCGGCCCTTTGGGGAAGTTCAGGGCCTTGGTTGTTCCCAGGCATGGCTGGTGTCCCATGGCCCCTCAGTGTACACTGACCCTTCACATCCCATCCCTGGAGCTGTAGGTGGCCAGTGCAGCCAGTCAGCCAACCCTTTGGGCCTGTTTCCAAGGCTCGTGGTATTTTTAGGCTGACATTTGCCAGGGCTCCTGGAAGCTGGGATGGCGGAGGGTGGGGAGGTTGGGGGAGGGCCGGCCCAGGGGGTAAACAGGTGGAGGAGGGGCTGACCTGGCTGTGGACAATGACCCGAATGACCTTGCAATACTTCTTCATGGCAGCAAAATCTTTTTGGAGCTGCTTCTTGCCATCAGTGTCCCGCCACCTCTTGCAGGCCTTGGTGAAGGCTTTCTTCTTGCTCTTGTGCCTGAGCCACACACAAGAGGGTGCTCAGAGGCCTCAGCCAAGGCAGCTCCCAGGCCCATCCTGCCCACAACCTACTCCCACTCCACCAAATTTCCCTGAGGCCCCTGGGCTGGTTCCACATGCCAACTTTGAACAGAGACTCTCCCTCCCTCTCTAGGCTGCGGTTTCCTCCTCTGTAGAGTGGGTACCCTCCCTCCCTCCTGGGGCCTGGAGTGAGCGGCAGATGTGCAGAAACTCAGAGAAGGGGGTTTCTGGCAAGCTCTGGGGTCCAGGCACATGGAGGCCACCCCACCTGCCACAGCGCTCAGACTGTTGATCCCACTTCTAAAGCACACAGTGGGCACTGCGGCCAGGCACCAGGCCTCAGGCTTGGGAGACATCATTTCTAACCCTCACCAGAATTCTTGAAGGTGGAAATTATTATGCCCATTCTATAGATGAAGAAACCGAGGTTCCCAGAGGTTAAAGCCCCTGGATGAGGGGCAAATTGGTGACAGAAACAATGAGAACGAGGGCAGCTGGCGTTTACTGATGCTTCACTCTGCACTGTGCAATGACACACCTCGCTCCTCTAATCTGCACAGAGCCCCACAGTGCAGGGGCCACTCCTAGCCCCATTTTACAGCAGAGGAACTCAAGAGGTCAGCCAGCTTGCCCGTGGTCATGGTCTGATCTGACTCTGGGGCACAAACTTGTCACCTCCCATAGAGGGTCAAGGCTGAGCTGTGCCTCTGCCTCCGTGAGGGGGCCTGTTGGTGAGTTTCCCCAGGAAGGTGGGTCTCCCTTTCAGGACATAGTGCCAGGGAAGATTTGAGGTCTGAGAATACATTTCTTTCAAGGTACAAGAGCATCTCAGTTGGCTGTTTCCCTTTTCAACCTGGCTGCTAGGAAGCTCAGAGCCAACTTTGACATTCTATCAAATTAGCCCTTTAATTAACACTGAGGATTAGAATGCATATTTGCTCCCTTTTGTTCCTCGGTCCAGATTTTTTTCTCCAGCCCTCTAGTAGTCAGCTTTTATTGAAGTGAGGGCACCACACACACATGCGCACACACACACGCACACGTACCTTCCTACCTTCCACACACCATTGGCACTTCTGCTCCTACCCACCCACCCTCATCACTCCAGCGCAGGGCTGGGCCTCAGGCAACCAACCCCTGGGGTCCCACCAGCGCTCTCACGGCCCACCCAAAGGCGGCCCTCACCAGTCCTTGTAGAAGCGGCGGCGGCACTCATCGCTGAGGTGTTCTGCGAAGATGGTCTTGAAGCTCCGCAGGCCTCGAGGGGTGGCCACATAGCCCACCACGCCCACCACCACTACGGGTGGTGTCTCCACAATCGTTACTGCCTCTACCTCTTCCCGCTTGGAAATTTCTGGATGAGACCCAGGAACAGGTGGATGGAGGGGGACCCCATGGGGAAGGGCCACCACAGGGGGAGGGACCAGGAGAGCATGGGGCCAGCAGCCAGGGCATCAACCTCCAACGGTGGGGTTGAGTCTCCTTTACTGGAGCCCAAATGAGCATTTTTTATTTTATTAACTATAAATGTATTTTTATAAGTCAAGCAAGACTAGACCAAATCTCATGATTTTATGGATATTACTGCATAGGCTGACATGAAGCAAAAGAAATACATGTTTAAAAGACACGGTACATGGGCCGGCCTGTGGCTCACTCGGGAGAGTGCGGTGCTGATAACACCAAGGCCATGGGTTCAGATCCCATATAGGGATGGCCAGTTTGCTCACTGGGGTGAGCGTGGTGCTGACAACACCAAGTCAAGGGTTAAGATCCCCTTACCGGTCATCTTTTAAAAAAAAAAAAAGACATGGTACAGGGCCGGCCCGTGGCTCACTCGGGAGACTGTGGTGCTGATAACACCAAGGCCACAGGTTCGGATCCCATATAAGGATGGCCAGTTAGCTCACTGGCTGAGTGTGGTGCTGACAACACCAAGTCAAGGGTTAAGATCCCCTTACTAGTCATCTTTTTTTTTTTGTCCTTTTTGAGACCAGCTGCACCGCGCTCAGCCAGTGAGCACTGTGAGCACACCGGTCATCCCTATATAGGATCTGAACCTGCGGCGGGAGTGCCACTGCGCTCCCAGCGAGTGCACCATGGACTCGGCCCACTAGTCATCTTTAAAAAAAAAAAAAAAAAAGGCACAGTACTGTATGCCACTAAGCAGTTAAAAAGGGTTAAAGCAGTAAAAATTACATTATGCACATTTCACCACAATAAAAAAATAAAGGGAAAAATACATATTAGGGGGCCGGCCTGGTGGCGCACTGCTACAGTGCGCCGCTTGGGAGCGCGGCGGCGCTCCCGCCGAGGGTTCGGATCCCACATACAGACCGGCCGCTCACTGGCTGAGCGAGGTGCGGGCGCAACACCGAGGGTTGCGATCCCATTGCTGGTCCCGGTCCGGTACGGGCGCGACACTGAGGGTTGCGATCCGTTGCCGGTCACGAAAAAAGACAAAAAGGAAAAAAAAAAATACATATTAGGAAAGATGAAGAATGGATGCAATGCGTGGTTGCCTGAAGGTTTGGGAGGGAGCGTCAGCTATACACAGGCAACTCGAGCGGTCCTCGTGGGAATAGAACGTTCTGTATCTGGACTGAGGAGGTGGATACACAGACTTCCACGTGTGACAGCACTGCACTCAACACACACACACACATGCACACACACGCACAAATGCAGGCTGAACCGGGAGACCTGAATAGGAGGGGTGGCTTGTAGCCACGTCAGTGTCCTGGTTGTAACATATTGCTACAGTTTACAAGATGTTTCTACTGGAGAAAACTGGGTGAAGGTCACATAAGATCTCTCTGTATTACTTCTTATAACTCCGCATCAATCTACAGTTATCGCAAAACAAAACAAAAAACAAACATGACATACAAGGGATCTTCAAAAAGTTTGTGGAAAGGTTCATATTATCTTTTAATTCTATTTTTCCATGAACTTTTTGAAGTACCCCTGTATGTGTGTATATATATATATATATATGTATGCATATATGGAGTAATAGTACATGAATAGTCCAGAAATGGCCAAGAAGTGCAGACATCATTGCAGGTGATTGAATCCTGGGGCGCCTGCCTTGGATCCCAGCTCCTCCACTTACCAACTGAGTGACTGGATCCTTTTTTTTTTTTTTAAAGATGACCGGTAAGGGGATCTTAACCCTTGACTTGGTGTTGTCAGCACCACGCTCAGCCAGTGAGCTAACCGGCCGTCCCTATATAGGATCCGAACCCGGGGCCTTGGTGTTATCAGCACCGCACTCTCCCGAGTGAGCCACAGGCGGGCCCTGACTGGATCCTTTCTTAACTGCTCTATACCTCGATGTCCTCATTTCTAAACTGGGGACAATGACACAACCCACCTGGAGGTGTTGCCCGTGGTCAGTACTTGATAAAGGTCAGCGTCGATCCTATCACTGTCCTGACTGTGATTCCCGTGGGCAGGGCCTCATCCTTTCTGGGGCTGTGGCCCCTCCTGGCCCACAGGAACAAGCTCTGGCTTCTAGCATCTGGAAGGTTCTTCACCCCACCCTGTTTGTTCCCCTGTGGCAACTCACTCAGCCCCGGCCGGTGCACCTCACGCAGGGTGTGGGTCATGCCTGCCTTGTAGCCCAGGAAGGCGGTGAGGTGCACTGGCCGGCTGGGGTCGTCTTGCGGCCACGTCTTCACTTTGCCCCGGTGCCGGCAGCTCCTCTTGTGGGGCAGGAAGCCCAGGTGTCCATGCCGAGGGGCAGAAAACTTCCGGTGGGACTGGGGGCAGGAGGGAAGGAGGTTAGAGCTGGGGTCTCCCTGTGCAGCAGCAGGATAATCCCAGAGCCCAGACCTTGAAAAGTGGGCTAGAGGGCCAGCCCCGTGGCGCACTCGGGGGAGTGCTGCGCTTGGGTGCGCAGCGGCGCTCCCACCGCGGGTTCGGATCCTATGTAGGGATGGCCAGTGTGCGGGCGACACCAAGCCAAGGGTTGCGATCCCCTTGCCGGTCACAAAAAAGACAAAAAAAAAAAAAGAAAGGAAAAGTGGGCTAGAGACCGTCCAGGCGGTCCTCAGTACCTCCCCCATCTGTCTATAGGAAGCAGGGGAAGGTTTGCCTGGGAGTGGCTTCCTGCCTCAGTGGGCTCAGCCTGGCAGGACCCAGAAGCGATGGGCCCATACTGCAGCAGAGGGCTCCAGGGACAGGTGGCTGCTGCCATCTTTCCAGATCCTTGCCCCTTCTAGTCCCAGCAGCCCAGCTCTGGCCCCTTGCTGCTCCCTCTGACCTCCCACTCCCATACAGGCTGGAGGACTGTTCCTGCTGGGAGAGAATCCGGGAAGCCCAGCTGCACCCTCCCCAGGAAGGTCAGCTTGCTCCGGCTCCAGCCCCAGCCCACCCCCCGCCACTGCCCTGGACCCACTGACCATGGCAGCCGATCCCTGCAAGTCAGGAAGGGGCCTCTCCAGCAGGCGCCAGAGGTCGAGTGGCAGGGCTAGGACACACAGCAGCCAGATCCCAGATATAGCCCTGGCAGGGGAGCGCAGCCATCCCCCGTGGCCAGTAAGGTCTCCTGTGCCAGGAGCAGGGTGAGCAGGGTGGCGTGGGGGGCATCAGATGGGCAGCTTGGAGTGGGGACACCTGGAGCCAGGGCTGGCACTCCTCTCCTCGATGGCCCTAGGACTGGGTCACAACCCTCCCAGGACAGCTCCAACATGGCCTGGAAGAAGCCAAGCTACCCCAGTTGGAGGCTTCTCTCAGGCAGCAGCCAAGACGGGAGTCTGGGTCCAGTTGCTGACAATGAGGCAGAGGGGATTCCTGTCCTGAGGGCGGTGGGACTGAGCTGGACAAACAGCAGGGGGAGTGGGGGCGTGGGGGGCAGGGAGAATGACTCTGTGGCCTCAGGATCACCAGGGCTGTGCTTAAAGATCAAGATCCCTGACTCTAACAGCCTATGATCCACGAGCATTTAGATACTTCCATAAATTTAAATTTTGAACTTAAGTTGTGAATGAAAGGGGGGTTGAACTGTCTTATTCTTTACTTTTTTCCTGTTTGCTTTTTTTCCCCAGTGTACAAAGAGTTTGGGATTATTTTTCAATTCAAAGATTCCTAAGAAAAAATTTCTATGGTTATAAAGTTCTGTAGCTGTAGAATCATAGAGTTTTATAAGCCTAAGATGTCTCTAAGGGTCACTGGATACTAAGATTCTATGCTACTAAAATAAGATTTTGGGGGGTCTGACAGTCAGTTTCTGAGAGTTCATAATTTGAAATTCTTACGTTTCTGTGATTCTAGATTCTGCGAGTCCATAGAGTTGGTGGCTCTGTGTCCCTGGCCCCAGCCTCTAGGCAGGAAGTGACCAGCACCCTCCCTGGATACCAGCCAGGGGCTGTGCCAAGTGTGGAGATTAGGGATGATGGCTAACAGGGTCCTGTTCAGCAGAGCTGCCTCAGGGCACCACAGTGCTCAAGGCCAGAATGGAACCATCAGAACCAGGCCGGAGTGCCCAGGGCCAGGACAAAACCATCTGAACCAGGGCGCGAGCCCCCTCTCCCAATGGGCCAGGGCCCTGGGGACAAGTCCTGCTCCCTGATCTGTCCTGGGCAGGCCCCCAAGCTCACAGGCTTCAGTCAGTCCACCAGGGGCCTGGCAGAGACAGTGGAGCCCAGAAAAAGCTGTTGAGGCTGGGCAATCCAGGAACGCTTCCTGGAGGGGTGGGGCGTTTGGTGCTCCGTGTTACTCGTTGACCTCGCTCCCTCCCACACTTCGCACAAGGGCCGGGCGCGCACTGGGAGCTGCATGGACCTGCGTCTCGCCCGCGAGAGCAGTGGCGCCGAGCCCCACGCGGGGGCGCCCGCGGGCGCGAAGCCCGAGGTCCCGTGGTGCCGCGCGGCAGGCCCAGCGCGCAGGTGCGGCTCTCGCGTCCTCCGCCGCGGGCCGCGGCAGCCATGCCGGACAGCTGGGACAAGGACGTTTACCCCGAGCCCCCGCGCCGCACGCCGGCGCCCTCGCCGCAGACCTCGCTGCCCAATCCCATCGTCTACTTGACCAAAGCCTTCGACCTTGTCGTGGACCGGCCCGTGACCCTCGTGAGAGGTACGGGTCCTCACTCCGCGCGCCGCCGGCGCCGTGAACCCCGGGCCCCCACCCTGCCTAGTTCCCCTCGCCGCACCCCGGGCCCCCCACCCTAAGACCTCCGGGCTCTGTCACCTCCTTCGGCCTCCCCACTGCAACCCGGGCCTGCCTCCCGGGTCTCTGCTGCCCGCCGCACCCGTTGCCTCCTGCACCAGGACGCTCACTGCACGCGGACCCGCCATCCGGGGAACCCCTTCCACTGCCCCGGGGTTGTTTGCAGACGGAGTACTAGAGCGTGTTAGATCCGACTCTTCCCTACAGAGCTTTGCACGGGACGTTGTGCATGTAGGCGATCAGCAACCGTGTGTTGAAATGAACGGATTCTCCGCTAACCACCTGCATGCCCTCGGGGTGGTCATTTGCCCCCTTTGGGCCTCAGTTGCAAAATGACCAGGTAGTGATGCAGAGATGCCCAGATTCCCCACCTCTGGTCTGAATCAGTGCTCCGCACTTCTGTTTTCCTGTTTGTGGTTCAGCCAGCTCCCTGGGCTCTGCCCTCGGTGACTAGTACCAGCACTTCATCCGTTCAGTGAATCAACCTGTTCAATCAACAACAACAAAGGAAAAACATTTGGGGTGCATAGCACGCTCTGGTGGTTCTTTTGTTAAGGAGGCTTAAGTCCGCAAACCAGACCCGCAAGGATCTGGAACAGTCCAGCAGTGGACCCTGCTCCCTTTCTTGTACCAGTGTCTTAGGAAGTGTTTTATATTTCTGGATGGATATCTCACTTAGTCCATCTTGTTAATTTACCAGTAGGGAAGCTGAGGCCTGAAGGTCAGAGTGGGAGTTGTGCTTCGTGGCTCCCTATTGAAGCTTCTGCCTGCACAGTGGGGTCCTCGTGCTGTGGGGAAGGTGGGCTCTCTGAGCTGCATCTAAGTCTCAGTCCCGTGTCTGTAAATGAGAAGGCCCTGCCCCCACCCCGTAGCGTTGTTGTGGGGACGAAGTGAAAGGATGGCTCCATCCACAGTAGCCATCACCACCTGTGGCACTTTGTAGGGCTGTCTGTTTGCCTGTTTCTGTAAAAGCTGGAAACGTTTAGGAAATCTATCTCATCCCTCCCCCCTTCCATTGTTTATGAGAAGTAACACACCTCAAAGCCTGTCCAAACTGTGACCTGTCCAAACCGACAGGGCATTTTTTTGAATCCAGGGTTTTCTCTTTGCAGAGTTTATAGAGCAGCAGCACGCAAAGAACAGGTATTACTACTACCACCGGCAGTACCGCCGCGTGCCGGACATCACTGAATGCAAGGAGAAGGACGTGTTGTGCATGTTTGAAGCCGAAATGCAATGGAGAAGAGACTAGTATGTGAACAGCGTCGGGTGATGTGCAGACTTGCACAGGGCATCCTGCTGGGCCACCATTCTCTGGGGATACCATGGGGTGGCCTGTGCCAGCCTAAATATGCTTCCTGGTGTTGGCACAGATTGTGGGTGTGAAGGGGGTGGGCAGACCTGGGGCTCCAAGGTCCTCCTACTCTCCTTGAGTACAGGGAAAAGACTCCTTACAGATAGCCTCTGTGATTCCTTTTGCTTTCAGCAAAGTCGATCAAGAAATTGTCAATATTATCCAGGAGAGGCTTAAAGCCTGTCAGCAGAGGGAAGGCGAGAGCTACAGGCAGAACTGTGCCAAGGAGCTGGAGCAGTTCACCCAGGTGGCCAAGGCCTACCAGGATCGTTGTGAGTGAGCCCCCTCCATGGCCCAGTCCCTGGGTCCTGCTTCCTGTCTGGCTCCCCTGTGGGCCAGTTTTGCTAAAACAGTGGTTCTCAAGTCTGAACCAATGGTTTCTAAAAATGGTGCTGCCCAAATTCTACCAATCAGGTTTGGGGGTTCAGAACCACCATTCCTCACAGCTCCTGGCTTATAATCTTAGAAACCTGACTTGCCTCCCTCTGTGTAGAAAAGACCGTGGCCCCCCCAGGGCCGTGGGAGAACTAGGTTGGGTTTCCAGTTTGTTTCTTCATCTGAGTCCCCATTTCTTTGCCAGATCAAGACCTGGGGGCCCATCAGTCTGCCAGGAAGTGCCTGGCAAAGCAGAAGCAGAGGATGATGGCCGAGAGGAAAACTGCGAAAGAGTCTGCTGCTGCCTAGCTGTGGAGCCCCCTCCCTGACTGCCACTATATTCCTTAAATAAAACAATACGTAACCTGCCTATGTTTCTGGTGTCATCTCTAGCGCCTCATCTTTTTTTTTTTTTGTCTTTTTTCGTGACTGGCAACGGATCGCAACCCTCAGTGTTGCGCCCGTACCGGACCGGGACCAGCAACGGGATTGCAACCCTCGGTGTTGCCCCCGCTCCTTGCTCAGCCAGTGAGCCGCCAGTCTGCACGTGGAATCCAAACCCTCGGCGGGAGCACCGCCACACTTCCCAAGCAGCGCACTGTAGCAGTGCGCCCACCGGGCCGGCCCATAACGCCTCATCTTAATGAGCCTTATTCCAATTCCTTATTGTGGTACAGAGATAAAATACAACCATTAGCGGGTTTAATTAACTTTATTTCTGTTGTATAAAAACCCTATGTTGTAGCCACAGCTGGAGCCTGGGTCCTCTGCACAGAGACTCTGGTGTGGGTCTTTACAAGATGGTCAGTGAATTCCTAGAAAAAGAAACACAGTTGGACACCAGTCACCCCCTGTGCTCACTTACACTTAGGCGGTATGGCTCACCCCAAACGAGCTCAACCCACTAGCCAGGCCAGCAGTACCTGATAGGGAGACTTGGTGAACACAGTCTCCTTCCAGAGATCGGGAGTCAGATAGCTGTAGGTCTTGGAGATGGCATCAAAGGTAGCCTTGGCTAGAACAAAACACATCAGGAGAGGATCAGTGGCCTGACTTGAGACGAGTGCCCCCCACCGCAGCAGCAGACGCTGTTGTACTCCCAGAAACGGAGAGGCCACTTTAGGCAGGTCTGCCGTGCATTAGGAGGACCTTCCTCTCTCTCTCTCTGAAAAGATGCCAAGCACACACTAGGCCTGTGTGATCAAGCAAAGCTGAGAGAGGATACGGCTGAAACCATGAGTGGGCCACCTACCGAAGTTGCCCAGGGTGGCTGTGCAGCCCCTGGCTGAGGTATAGCAGTCATCAATACCAGCCATCATCAGTAATTTCTTGGGCACAGGAGCCGAGACGATGCCAGTACCTCTGGGGGCAGGGATGAGGCGCACCAGCACAGAGCCACAGCGGCCAGTCACCTGGGAAGGGAAAGAGTATGAAATCAGGAAGATGGAATCTGTGCTTCGTCACAGGTCCATCACTCACCACTGCCCAGCTCACCTTGCAAGGGACGGTGTGGGGCTTGCCAATCTTGTTTCCCCAGTAGCCTCTCCGCACCGGGACAATGGAGAGCTTGGCCAGGATGATGGCCCCTCTGATGGCGGTGGCTACCTCCTTTGAGCACTTAACACCCAGGCCGACGTGGCCGTTGTAGTCTCCGATGGCGACAAATGCCTGTGAAGAGACTGTGTGAGGTGGTCAGTGGTCCTACAGAACATCACTATCCCTCGCCCAGAGATTGTTGCACGCCTCAAGAAAAGAGAGGCCACCGTGAGGCCAGTCTAGAGGTCTTGAGGAGATCTTTTCTCTCTCTCCCCATTACGAAAGTCACACGGGTGAAACCAAGTGTAACTATGCAGAGCTGAGAGAGTCTCACCAAACTCCCTGGCACAAACAACCCAGCCACCACAAGACGGTGGCGATACCTTGAACCTTGTCCGCTGGCCAGCACGAGTCTGCTTCTGCACCGGCATAATCTTCAAAACCTCATCCTTAAGAGACGCCCCCAGAAAAAAGTCGATAATCTCGGACTCCTGCAGTAAAAGTCAACAGATCAGTGATGCTAATTAAAAACAAGTACCATCCCTCAAAAGCTTCCCATTGACTTCCTATTCCTGACAGGAGACATCCAGCCTCTTCTCCCCAGAGGCACCCCCCACTAACGATCACGGAGGCGGACACCTACGCACTCGCACACTTCAACCTCTCAAATCAGAGACCTCAGAAACCTCCGACCCCAGCCCAAATTACTCCCAGGGGCTCTCTGGGGTTGCTGCTGCCCGACGCCCACGGATCGGCGCGGTACCTTGATGGGCAAAGAAAAAAGATAGATCTCCTCCAGGGACTTGATTTTCATGTCCTTGACCAAGCGGCCCAGCTTGGTGACGGGGATCCACTGGAGGGAGAGAAGGTGCCAGTAAGCAGCGCCGCCTCTCGCGCCGCCCGCGGGCCCACCCACGCCCAGGGCTAAGCCTTACCTCCTTGTCTTCGGCCTTGCCTCCGCGAGCTCCACGGCCCCGGCCCCGGCCCCGACCGCGGCCGCGACCCCGGCCCCGGATGCCGCTGCCGAAGCCTCCGCGAAAGCCGCCACGGCCTCCCATTCCAGGGCCCCCGGGGCCTCCGGGCCCTCCCGCTGCACCGGCGTCATCCGCCATTTGCTGAAAATATAGACAAGAACCAGCAATCGGAGAGGTCCTGGCGCCTGCGGCCGCCCGGAGAACCTAGACGCGCTCGGCTCCGGCCCGATGTCCGCGGATTCCCGCCGCCACGCCGAGTGCCACCGCCACAGCCCACCACACTCACGTGTTCTGTCGGAGAAGAAGGGGGCGGGCTTCCGGAAGCGAGCTTTTATAGCTTGCCAAGCGCCGCGAGATCTCGGCTGCCCCGCCCTGAGCCGGGCCATCTGAGGCAGCCTGTGATTGGCTCCGCGGCGCCCCGCCGCCCCACCGCTCTGCGTGCGCCTGCGCGTCCGGCCGAGACGCGGCCCCGGAATCTGCGTGACCGGAAGAGCCGCTATAAACGCCCGCGCCGCCGCGCCGCGGTCCTCTCGGGCCTCCGGGTTCCCGGCACCCGCCTTTCCACTGAGGTAGGTTGGCCGGCTGGGCCGCTGCTGCGTCCCGGTGGTGGTCGGGCAGACCGGCGTTGTTTGAAAATCACCCCCGGCTCTGGCCGTGGCCGGGGGTGAGATTCGGCGCCCAGAGCCACAGGGACCTCCGCTCGCCGCCCACTGCACGGTGTAGGGGGCGAAACCCAGGTCCCGACAGGCGCCGCGGCCCCGATGCGGCCGTTCGCGTAGTCTGGCCTCCGACCTCTAACCTTGTCTTCTCCTCGCAGGACACCCGCTCGCCCGGTGCCTGAGGCCGATGCCGCCAGGACCGCGCGGGAGGGGCTTCGGTTGTCCGGTCTCCCAAAGAAAGCTAATTGCCCAGTTCTCCGCTTGTGGATGTTCTTGGGGTCCTGCTGTTGACCTGAACGGACCTGAACCCCTTCCCCCACCCTTAAAAATTAACTGACTAGCTTTTTTTTTTTTTTTAAAGATGACCGGTAAGGGGATCTCAACCCTTGGCTTGGTGTTGTCAGCACCACGCTCAGCCAGTGAGCCAACCGGCCATCCCTATATAGGATCCGAACCCGTGGCCTTGGTGTTATCAGCACCACACACTACCGAGTGAGCTACGGCCGGCCCCAACTGACTGGCTTTTCTGCTTCTGTAATTAGCTTGCGCAAGGTTTTACAAGCCCCTGCGGGTGGGACTTTCTGGTAAGGGCAGATGAAGGACTTCCCAAACCGCCCAAAGTTCACCCAGTTCCAGGAAGGGCCTAACCACACAAGGGGTGGGCTGTTGGGCAATTCCCCAGTTCCTTGTCTGTATACCACCCCACTGAAAGCCACCAATGAATTTAAAAGTCACCTCAGGTGACCAATAAGCTGTATACAACTCATCCTGTTGTCAAAGTCTGCCTACTAAACTGTATAAAAAGTGCTTGCATTAAGAGCTCGAGGCCGCTTCTGTCCTGATAAGGGAGCGACCCCAGCATGCTGGAATAAACACCTCTTGCTTGATTGCATCGATCTCTGTCTCTTGGTCTCTGAGATGTGCCGTCTGGGCCAGTAGGACTTACACTATTGGTGTAGTCTTACACTACCCGGCTATCGGCCTGGAAAATGGATTTGTTCCTGCTGTGGCAGGGAGAACCCTAGAGGGATGCCTCCTCTTACCAGGCCAGCCAAACTCCACTTTGGACACTCCACAAGGCTACGTAGAAGTTGGGAGGTTGGCAGATGACTCCTAAGGTCCCACACCCCTTAAGTAGCATAGCCAGGCGGGGAACCCTGACTTGCCTGTCCATGCCCCAGACATTACTTCCACATTTGCAAGTAAAATACCCTAGGCTAAGAAAAGCGAGGTGGGGCCAGCAAACCACTAGCAAGGATGGGAGTGTAGACTTCACAGCTCAAAGGCCTTTAGAAGCTCCCTATTGCTCTCAGGACAGAGATAGGTTCATTAGGATTTGACCAACTAGCCTAGTTGAGCTCAGCACTCCAGTGGCGCTGAACCAGTGGGAACATGTTTGCACAGGTTGGAGTTGATCTCCCCATGCCAATTCTCACAGTTCTGCCCAGAAAATCAGATATCTAGGGCCAGCCCGTGGCTCACTTGAGAGAGTGTGGTGCTGACAACACCAAATCAAGGGTTAAGATCCCCTTACCCGTCATCTTTAAAAGAGAAAGAAAAAAAAAAAAAATCAGACACTTGTTCTGGGAGGCTGGGCCCCCTGCTGTGGGGTTGCAGAGAAATTTAGTCCTCACTGCCCTGTTCTGTGCCCTGGAGTTAGCACCCATAGTCTTGGATCCTAAGTGAAGAGCCCTTATGAGTCAGTGTCTAAACCCTTAAGCTCTTGGAGATCTGGTCACCTGAGCAGCACTAGTTGAGGAATAGGGCAACACCCTGTGATCCTGCTGAAGCCTTGGTCTTGGGGAAACAGCCCCCAGAAGCTTGGTTCCTGGCCGAGTACTGCTTGGGGATCAGTTGTCAGCCACCCTCAAGGCAGCAGGTTCTATGGACCTGTCCTGGGTCCAGCCTGCCCTACCCTTTGCCTGTGATCCTTGAGAGGGGTGCAAGGGCTAGGCAGTGCAGGTCCCAGTAGGCCCTGGACCAGGGCAGTGATTGGCCTGAGCTAGACAATGCCACTGTGATGTCGGCCCACTGCCACTGTGAAATGGAGGCTCCTGAGCACTGGGGGTCAGTGGAGCTGCCATCCAGACACAGATCATGGTAAGCCCAAGCCTTCTTACCTGTACCCCTAAGATTTGTACCCAACTCTGAAAATGTGTCCAGCTGTTCAGGAATGGGCCTTATTCCTCACTCTGAGAAAGGGTGGACAGTGTTATGGGCCCCCATATGAAACGAAAACTTTTCAGAAGGCTCTAGTAAAGTCTTAACTCAGCCAAGGCCAGCTTCTCCAGCCAGGGACTGGTAGTCTTGTGGGGAGGATCTTGGACCCCCATAGCTGCCCCCTCAAAGTGGGTGCTGACCCAGGCTCTCTACTTGTGGCTCTCATGTGGCTCACCTCTACCTAAAGCTTGCTGGGTGGGTTCTCTCACTGGGTACATGGAGTGGGGGGGCCAGAGCCTTGTCCCAGCCAGGCGCTGATGCTGGCCTGGCCTTTGCAGACTGGCGGGTATGATCTCAACCTCTTCACCAGCCCTCCTGACTGCAACTTCCTGTGCTCCGTCTGCCACGGGGTTCTCAAGAGGCCAGTAAGGTTGCCATGCAGCCACATCTTCTGCAAAAAGTGCATCCTCCGGTGGCTAGCCAGGTGCCACTGGGTACCCAAGGGGCCGGGAGGACAGGGGTGAGGCTAAAAGCCATTCCTGTGGCCCAGAACAGAGGGGAAAGTCTGCCAAGTACTGGGTCACAATGGCTATAAAATGCAGCCGCTAAATTTCCAGGGACACTAAAATGTGTGGGACCCCTCAATCTGTGGTCTGCAGCCCTGGACCCCAGCCTTCGAGCTGAGAGCTCCCCCTCACACCTCCTCCAGCTGGAGAGAGGATCCAGGCCCTTGACTTTGGTGTTATCAACACCACACTCTAAACAACTGAGCTACCCTGCCAGCCCCAGTGAAGGCTTGGCCAGGGGAGGAATGGTGCCTGCACGTGCCCCCTTCCCACTCCCAACACTCATGCCTACCCATGCCCCCTAGACAAAAGACCTGTCCGTGCTGCAGGGTAGAGGTGAGGAGGAGGAAGATGGTCCATGTGAATAAACTCCAGAGAACCATTGGCCGCCTAGAAGTCAAGGTAGCTCAGCACCACTCCCACCCACCTTGTCGCACTTGTGGGGGGTGGGACAGCCAAGAGAGAGGGAAAGGAGAACGTCATCTTCAAACAGAACCAAGTGCAGCCTCCGGGCCATCAGACCTGGCTGAGTTTTGAATCATGGTTGTACCACTCATCTGCTGTATGATTTTGGGCAAGTTACCTAATGTGAGGCCCTGGGGCCTCAAGCTGTAAAATGGGGATTACAGAGGATTTTTAGAGGACGAAGTGCCTGGTTTTCCCTCAAGGGGCAACTGAGGTTAAAAAAAAAAAAAAGCCTGGCATACTAGTACATACCACTCACTAGACCAGCCCAACCATGTACCTCTCTGTTCTCCAAGACTCGGGCCCAACCCCCTCCTCTGGGACATCTAGATTCTTCCCACCTCTAAGCATTTGCCCAATTATTCTCTCCCCTTCACCTCATTGCAGTCAGAAGAGCTTGGGAAGCTCCCGGTCTATTGGTTTCTGGTCAGTGGAATGTTACAGATGGGGGATTCCATAGGGCGGCCGGCTGGCAATACCTGACCTGGTTTGGCTCATACGGTGCTCTCCTCCCACCCTTAGTGCAAGAACGCAGAGGCTGGCTGCTTGGTGACCTGCCCTCTAGCCCATCGCAAGGGGCACCAGGACTCATGCCCATTTGAGCTAATGGCCTGCCCCAACGAGGGCTGCACTGCACGGGTGCTGCGTGGGACCCTGGCCGAGCACCAGCGACAGTGCCAGCAAGGTGCCCAGCAGCGTTGTCCCCTGGGCTGTGGTGCCACCCTGGGCCCTGTAGAGCGTGTGCAGCACAACTGCTACCGCGAGCTGCGCGACGCCTGGAGCGAGCGCCAGCAGCGCAGCCGGCCCCTGTTGCTTTGCGTGCTGCGACATGTGCGCCAGGTGCACCGCGCCACCAACCTCATCCGCGGGCAGCTGGCCCAGCTCGGCAACTTCCTGGAGGAGGACGATGCCTTGCTCCTGGGCGCCCCGCAGGAGGAGGCCGAGGCCACCCCCGAAGGCAATATTGGGGCTGAGGAGTCGGGGGCCCAGGGCCACAGTGCCTTGTAAATAGAGAATAAACGCGGAGCCCAGGCCTGGCCCGCCTCGCCACCTCTGTGCCTGCTGGTCTTACTCTGCCACATTTGCCGCCGCCTCCCCTTGTGACCCATCCAGGTACTCCCTTCTCCAGCCAGGGACACTTTGAAAGCCTCTCTTCCTCGGACTCTTGAGTTCTTTCCCATCACTGGGTCTTTGCTCTTCTCTTCCCCCTGCCTGGAAAGCTCTTCCATTTGCCTGCTTTCTCCTTTTCACTCAAACGTCTCTCCTCCTGTTAGAGGTTTTCCCCAACCATCCTCTCCCTGTCCACTCTCCCATTACTTCCTCTCAGTGTGTTTTACCAGTTTCATAACCAGCAGCACAAACGGCTCAGAACTTTGAACTCAGAGTAAAAGCCAACTCCTCACAATGGCTTACGAGGAGCCCTCCTGACCTCTGCCCTCTTGCGCCTATATTCTCTTCACCCACTGCCTGCAGTCACGCCGGCTTCTGTTGCTCGTCCTAAGCGCCAGGCACCCCCAGCCCCTCGGCCTGAAGCCCTGCTCCACGAGCTTCAACGTCACTGCAGGCGTCCCCTTCTCAATGAAGCCTCCTCCACCGCCCCACTGAAAACTACCCTCGCTACATCATTTGCTGGTTATTTCCACAGCAGCAACCACTTATTGTAATAATACCCCCCACCCCCGTCCCCTTCCTCATCCACACCCTCAGCCCACTAGAATATGAATTACCCGGGGGCAGAGGTTTTTTCCTTCCCTAATGTCTCCCATCTGCCTAGAAGGGTGCTTTGCACACAGAAGGTACTCAATAAATATTTGAACGACTATGAAGTTATCTGAATAGTTTCATTTATCTGAATTATTTATAATAGACTGAATTACTACTTATCATAGACTTATTCGACCGCGGTTGCCGAATCCAGAACGCGGAAGGGGCACGAGTAAACACTTCCCACGAATGAATGACGTTTTAATTTTCCATTAAAAGGCCAGACCGAGGGCAACACCGACCCGTACCCAGTTTACGCCAACTCGCCCGTGCTGCACCTGCGAAGTTCCACAGTCCGCCATCGAGGCCGGGAACGCCCCCGCCAGCTTCCGCCTTCCGGTCAGCGGCCTTTGCCCATAGCAAAGATGGCGTCGAGTGCGTTGCGCTGGTGACGTCACAGCAGTGGTGGCTCGTGACGTCATCGCCGCGCGCCGGTCTCCCTCACGCGGCGGCGGCAGCGGCACGACATGGCGGAGACTGCCCCCGGAGTGGGCTGCTTCAAGGCCAAGTGAGCCTGGGGCGCTGGGGCTGCGGGGCTCGCAGCTGGGCAGCGGAGGCCCCCGCGGCGCGCGGAGGAGGGCGGGCCCTGGAGAGGGCGCCCATTCAGGTCTGGGGAGGGGCTGAGAGCTGTGTACGGACTGGCCCGCGGGGTCGTGGAGGCTGCGACAGGGGCTGGTGGCGACTGGAGTCCGGCCGGGCGCAGCAAGATGGTTTTGGGGGAACGAGAAATCTTTGAGGCGGGGGAAGGGGCGGATTGAGTCCAAGTTGGGGCTGGTCCTGGAATGTGGCGGGAGGTGAAGAACCACCCCTGGGTAGGCGGCCTAGGGCGCTTTCACCCGTTGTCCCTCTTCTGCAGGGAGCAGGAATAAGGAAGAGTCGGGAGATGGGTGGGTCCGCAGTGGCCCAGGATGCCCTGAATCCTTTGCTCGCACAATCCCCAAACCTTTGCTGAACAGCTAAGTGCATAGGGTCCGTGTAGGAACAGACTCAGCTCCACCTGCAGAGCGCAGTCCTATGGAATAAATCATCCCCGTTAGTGGCTGAGAGGCTTCGGTTGTGACAAGCCCTAGCAAAAGGAAGCCCTGGTGCTGACTGCACCGCTGTTGGAAGGTCATCTGGGTGTGGGATGGGGAGCTCCAGTCATCGTGGCAGTCAGGCTTCCCAGAGTGGAGTTAGCCAGGCATTGAAATCTGGGAAGAGAGGCCCACCTCTTACACAGGGAACAAGCAGAAGATAGGAAATCTGTCACTGTGGCTGGGCCAGGTGCAGTGGGGCTGTGGTGTGGGCTGTGAGAGGGAAAGGAAACACAGGAAAGGGGGGCAGAAATCCTTCTGGATAAGGTCTTGAGGGCGTGTAAGGAAAGGGAAGAGTTTTAAGCAGGATGATAACATAATCAGTTATGTTCTAAAAGGCAACTCTGGCAGAAAGGTGGAGAGAGCAGGTAGGGGGCCCAGTGAAGAGTCTGGAGCAGGAGGACAGCATGAGTGAAGTCACAGAAATGACAGCTGCTTGGGATGTGGGATCCAGGCGGAGCTGGGGATGGAGGAGAGATCCAGGGCAGAGAAGAGGTGTGTTGGACCTTAGGGATCAAGAGGCTGGGGAACATGTTGCTCTTGGCTCAGTTATCTAGGCCTGGCTCCCACAGTCATCCACCTTCGGAGCTCCCCAAGACCTGACCTGGTCTACACTGGGGACTCTCTCAGAAGATTGGGCTGTTGGGCTACCTTTGCCTAATGCAGGCCCACCTCTTACTGCTGCGGGACCCCACGTGGACCACCTCTGGGTCTCAACTTCTCTGTAACATGGGGTAGCAACACAGTGCTGCTAGTTTTCCTCTTAGGTCCCTGTTGCCGCCCAGGACTCTTCAAGGGCCAGGGCCTATTGGGTTGACTTCTGGGAGAGCATCCAACACAGGGCCAGGCACTAAGGGGTGGGCATTACTCACTCCCCTGTCCTCTTTCCAGCTATGCTGTCGAGCGCAAGATTGAGCCTTTTTACAAGGGCGGGAAAGCACAGGTACCAGCCTGGGGAGGGGCAGGGTTGTGGGGCAGGTAGGGACTGTGTCGGAGATGCTGAGTATTGCCTTGGCTGAGACCCTTTTGTCCCCAGCTGGACCAAACTGGCCAGCACCTCTTCTGCATCTGTGGTACCAGAGTCAATGTCCTGGAGGTGGTCTCGGGGACCGTGCTACAGAGCCTGGAGCAGGTGAGGGCTGGCTGGGCAGGTGGGAAGGGGCTAGTGGGGAGGGTAGCCTTTTCATGTGGTGATCTCTGTGCCTGCTCTGTCCCCTAGGAGGACCAAGAGGACATCACCGCCTTTGACCTCAGCCCCGATGATGAGGTACGTGGGGCAGGGACAGGAGGTGAGCTCCAGTACCTCCCTCCAGTACCTTGAGGCAGTGAGGCTGCCACTATTCCTCAGCTGAATTGTGTCTTCCTGCAGGTGCTGGTGACTGCCAGCCGGGCACTGTTGCTGGCTCAGTGGGCCTGGCGAGAGGGCAGCGTCACCCACCAGTGGAAGGCGATACACACAGCTCCCGTTGCCACCATGGCCTTCGACCCCACCTCAACACTGCTAGCCACTGGTAGGGCCCCAGCTGGGCTGGTAGGCCAGAGTGCACAGGTGGGAACTTTGGGCAAAGACCCCTCACCTCAAATCCATTCCCACAGGTGGCTGTGATGGGTCCGTGCGCGTCTGGGACATTGTGCGGCACTATGGGACACACTACTTTCGGGGCTCACCTGGTGTTGTGCAGTGAGTGGAGGCAGCTGAGGGCAGGTGGGCAGAAGCATCATGCTTAAGGGCACAGCTCACTGTCCTGCACCCCTGCCTGCAGTTTGGTGGCGTTCCACCCAGACCCTGCACACCTGCTGCTGTTCTCCTCAGCCACGGATGCCGCCATCCGTGTATGGTCACTGCAGGAACGGTCGTGCCTGGCTGTGTTGACTGCCCACTACAGTGCTGTCACCTCTCTGGCATTTGGTGCTGATGGCCACACCATGCTCAGGTCAGTGGCAGGCCACACAGCCCTTGGTAGGAAGGGGAAGCTCAGAAAGTGGGGGCTGAGACAGACTCTGGGACTGAGGTGGCTGGTTCCCCCCAGCTCTGGCCGTGACAAGATCTGTATCATCTGGGACCTTCAGAGCCGCCAGGCCACGAGGACTGTACCAGTGTTTGAGGTGGGGGCACCTGAAGGCCAGGGCTGGTGAGTTGGGCAGGGAGGGGGCATGGCTGCAGCCTTTGACCCAGCTCATCCCTAGAGCGTGGAGGCTGCTGTGCTGTTGCCAGAGGAGCTGGTGCCTGAGCTGGGTGTTAAGTCCCCAGGCCTGCACTTCCTGACAGCTGGTGACCAAGGTTTGTGGGGCCATCCCATGGGCAGGCAGCAGGGCTGGGGTGGGCCCCTGGACCTGTGAGACCCAGCAGCCCCTGTCCCCACACAGGCACGCTGCGTGTGTGGGAGGCAGCTTCAGGGCAGTGCGTGCACACACAGCCTCGGCCGCCAGGCCCCAGGCAGGAGCTGACCCACTGTGCCCTGGCCCGTGCCGCCGGCCTGCTCCTTGCCATCACCGCTGACCACAACCTGCTGCTCTACGAGGCGCGGTCTCTGCAGCTGCAGAAACAGGTGAGCACCTGCCCCTGCTTGGCCTGGGGCCTGGGAGCACCTGCCCTACACTCGTGCAGGTTCCAGCTGGGTCTCCCGCCCCCACAGTTTGCTGGCTACAGTGAGGAGGTGTTGGATGTCCGGTTCCTTGGGCCTGAGGACTCCCATGTCATTGTGGCCTCCAACAGCCCATGCCTGAAAGTGTTTGAGCTGCAGACATCAGCCTGTCAGATCCTCCACGGCCACACAGGTGGGGAGCCAGCTGACACCCCTACCTCGTCTTGCCATAATTGGCCCCTGACCACTCCCCCTACTTCTCCCAGACATTGTCCTGGCCCTGGATGTGTTTCAGAAGGGGCGACTCTTTGCCAGCTGTGCCAAGGTGAGGCATCCAAGAGGTGTGGAGGTGCGGGCCCCCAGGTAGGGAAGCCAAGGCAATAGGACCATGGCCCAACCTCTCTCCTCAACCTTTCCTGTCCCCAGGATCAGAGCATCCGCATCTGGAGGATGAACAAGGCTGGCCAGGTGGCTTGCGTGGCTCAAGGCTCTGGCCACACACACAGCGTGGGCACCATCTGCTGCTCTAGGTAGCGGGTCAGGGCTGGATCTAGAAGTGTCCGAGGTGGTGGAGGCCCAGGCCTGCTGATGGGGGCTTCAGCTCAGGAGGTGGGGGGAGTTGGAGGGGGTGGTGGCCTTGGCCTCAGTCTTTGGGGCTCTGGCCCAGGGATGTGGAGCAGAATAGGAGCCAGGGGAGCCCCACTTGCATGGGGATGTTCTCAGAAGTGGCCTTGGGGCGAGGTGGGAAAAGGAGGAAGGGCATCAGGGCAGAGAGAATGACGCTGAACCAGGTGGAGAAGGTAAGGCTGGGGTCCTGTGGTTGGGGCTGAGTTGTCGGCTATGGTGGCACTGACGGTGGATAGTGCAGACAGAGGGGCTTGGTCCCAGAGATGTTTGGGGGTGACATGGGCTGATCTGCATCCTGGGATAGTCCTTCTGGTCCGTACAGTGGCCCAACAGGCCAGACCTGTGGTGCACTGGCGATCAGGACTTGCCAGGGCTCAGCAGTGTGTCCTCTCCCGCCGTGTCACAGGCTGAAGGAGTCCTTCCTAGTGACAGGCAGCCAGGACTGTACTGTGAAGCTGTGGCCCCTCCCTGAAGCCCTGCTATCGAAGAGAGCAGCCCTAGACAGCGGCCCCATCCTCCTGCAGGCCCAGACCACCCAGCGCTGCCATGACAAGGTGAGTGACACAGCCACTGGGGTGGGGGCGTGGCTGAACTTTGTTGGGGTGAGAGGTCTGAGCTGCCACCTGCTTCCATTACCAGGATATCAACAGTGTGGCCATCGCCCCCAACAACAAGCTGCTGGCCACAGGCTCACAGGACCGCACAGCCAAGCTCTGGGCCCTGCCGAAGTGCCAGCTGCTGGGCGTCTTCTCAGGCCACCGGCGAGGCCTCTGGTGTGTCCAGTTCTCACCCCTGGACCAGGTGCTGGCCACAGCCTCTGCTGACGGCACCATCAAGCTCTGGGCACTGCAGGACTTCAGCTGTCTCAAGGTAAACAGCAGTTCCCCCACCCCAGGCCAGCCCCAGCTCAGTAACATCTCACAGCTTCCACCTCCACACCCCACAGACATTTGAGGGGCATGATGCTTCTGTGCTGAAGGTGGCCTTTGTGAGCCGTGGCACACAGCTGCTGTCCAGGTGAGTGAGCTGAGGCAGGTTCAGGATGGTGGTGAGGTGGGGGGCAGGCCCTGACGCTGAGCTGCTCCCAATCCCAAACCCAGCGGTTCCGACGGGCTCGTGAAGCTGTGGACCATTAAGAACAATGAGTGTGTGCGGACACTGGACGCCCATGAGGACAAGGTCTGGGGGCTGCACTGCAGCCGGCTGGATGACCGCGCCCTCACGGGTGCCAGCGATTCCCGCGTCATCCTCTGGAAGGTTGTGGGTCGGGAGGGGTGGAAGGCAGCGTGGGGGGGCAGCGCGGCGTCCCCTTCTGATCCCAGTCTGATCCCAGGATGTGACTGAGGCAGAGCAGGCACAGAAGCAGGCCAAGCAGGAGGAGCAGGTGGTCAAGTGAGTATGGGTCAGCATCGCCTCCCCTGGAGCAGGGGGCTCTGCATCACCCCTACTTTGAGAACATTGGGAAACTGAGGCTGGAAGTAGGGCTGAGTTCCAGCCAGGGTCCATTAGTGCCCACTCCTTCCCCTCCCCCCCCAGGCAGCAAGAACTGGACAACCTGCTCCATGAGAAGCGTTTCCTGCGGGCGCTGGGCCTGGCCATCTCCCTGGATCGGCCCCACACTGTGCTGACCGTTATCCAGGGTCAGTGCATGTCCCAGTATCAGGACAGGGTGGGGAGTGGCTCTCAAGCCCTTGAGCCCATTCCCTGGGGCTCAGTCTTCCTTCCTCCCACAGCCATCCGGAGGGATCCCAAAGCCTGTGAGAAGCTAGAAGCCACTGTGCTCCGACTGCGGCGAGACCAGAAAGGTCCAAGACTGGCGGGCAGGGGCTGGTCAGGGTTGAGTGGCCTAGCAGGCAGGGGCCGGTCAGGGCAGGGTGGCCCGGCAGGCAGGGTGACCATTCTTGTTGCCCACAGAGGCCCTGCTGCGCTTCTGCGTCACATGGAACACCAACTCCCGGCACTGCCATGAAGCCCAGGCCGTGCTGGGTGTGCTCCTGCGGCATGAGGCCCCCGAGGAGCTGCTGGCCTATGAGGGCGTGCGGGCTGCGCTTGAAGCCCTGCTGCCCTACACTGGTATGTGGGCACAGGCTGGGGTGGGGAGCAGCCTGGTGGCCGCGTGGACCCCCCTGACCTCCCTCTGTCCTCCCAGAGCGGCACTTTCAGCGGCTCAGCCGGACACTGCAGGCAGCCACCTTCCTGGACTTCCTGTGGCAGAACATGAAGCTGCCCACTCTCCCAGCTGCCCCCATGGCCCCCTGAAACACATGAAGGCGTATTTTTCTATCTTGGCTCTGTGTGTCTATCTGGGCTGTCTTACTTCAGGTCTCTGGCCACAACCTTAGCCAGTCAGAATGGGTACTGGAGCCTGCTGGTCTCAATCCTACCAGCCCCATCCCTGCTCCCTGGCCTGGTGGGGATCCAGCAGGCCCTGCTCCTCAGCACAGTGAGACTTGGTGTGAGTCATTCAGAAATTTATTCAGAGGAAATGGGAAGTCATGCCCTCCCTCACCCTCACCTCCCCCAGCCACCATCAGTCATCCCCTGGTCTGGATCCCCTGGACAGCATTCAGGCTGCACGGTGCACCATAGGGCCTGTGCAGCCCTCCCTGTGTGTTCCACACACCTTCAAGGGGGCCCCTGATGCCCTGGGTCCCGCTCTAGAGCCCTACGGGTGATGGTGCAGCAGCGGCTCTGGATGGCACTCAGTGGGGGTCGGGCGGGCACGGTAGGGGGAGGGGTTGTGGCCTGGGGGGGTTTGGGGGAGCGGCGGGTCTCGCCTGCCCTGTCCTCCCCTCCATGGAACCCTGGCCCGCCCAGAAGCGCTCCCAGCCCTTCTGGCCTCAGCAGCACAGCGGGAAGGAGGCCCTCCTGGCTGCCAAACCTACAAAGAGAGCACAGCTTGGTTAGGGATCAGCCGGTCCCCAGCTAGGCTTGGCCGGGCCAAAGCCCCACCTCTGCGCACCTGCACAGCCACCAGCCACGGTCCGATGTCTCCAGCACGCGCACACACGCCCCTGCGGGCACTGACAGCTCATCCCTGCGGGTGCTCTCATAGGCACAGGAAACACAAAACTGGGGCCCTGGAGGGTGGGTGTTTGGGAGTCACCACCAGGCTCCAGAGGCCAGGATCTCTATCTTCCTCTGGGTTCGATCTCTGCTGGCACCGGGAACTGCTCTAAAACCCATTCAGGGCTCTTCCAGCTACAGTGACCAAACACAGGCTCCCAGTCTTCTGACACCGCTGTCCTCCCCCTGCTCGGGTGCTTCCTCTGGCCTAGTCTGGCCACACACAGTGCTGTGGTAGTGGTGGGCATGGGGGAGGTGGATTGGGCTCCTACCGCTGCTCCCCAGGGATGGGCCCCCCTCCTGGCCCTGGCCCGGTGACACCTCCAGGTAGGGAGCTGGAAACCAGGCCATCTGCTGGTCCTTGTTCTCCACCAGCCACCAGCCTGTGCGCAAGGGGCAAGAAGGTTGTCAGATTCCCCAGGCCCGCTGGGATCCAGAGGGGCAAAGGAGCGAATTTCCAGGCTGCGGTCAGACCTACCTGAAGGGTGTCGCAGCAGCACGTCCAGGCTCTCCTGGGTCCGCGTGTGGAAGGGCCGGCCCCGCGTGTCCTGGGTGTGGAAGGGCTGCAGGCAGCGCAGGCTCTGCACCTCCAGGCTGTGGATGGCAAGGCTGCCCGCGGGGAGGGGGAGGGGATCCTCGGGGGTGGGTAGGATCACCAGGCTGGGAAGGGCAGCGGCGCAGGTGAGAGGCAGGTAGAGCGGGCCCGCCACCCCCGAGCCCACCCGGCCTTCCAGTCTCCGCGCCGCCGCCCCGC